AAACATGCCAAGATCAACTCTACATCAAAGACTACATAATCCTTGCAGGAAGCACTGCATTTTTAACAACCCTGATGATGCATCAGGCCAACAGCAGAGGTCAGAATTGCCTTCATTTGCACAAGTATCTGACAAGCCTCGCAGGTCTGGGCAGGCTTTTTTCAAGGATGCAGGGCTTTGTAAGGTGAGCACCAATTTGTCTAGCCGCTTCTCTTTTCCTCTTTGTTGCTCCCAGAAAAAAGAGGTGCTTTATTTTTAGTGCCTGTGTTTGTACAACACCAGCAAAGTGGCTCCTCTGGCTTGGTGGACATTGTAAGCACTAAACTAACTGCACTGCCTGCTTGCTTCCCCATGTCTCTCTTGATAACAGCATTTCTCTCCCCCAGCATACCTATGCATGAATCTTCCCTGAAGATTTGTCGCATTTCCCATTCCTGTCTAATCCTGCATTGTTTTCTTTCATGCGTATAGTAAACAAACAAACAAACAAAAAGAGCTCACATAGAGCAGGAAACTGCTGTGAGGTCCAAAGGAGCCAAAAACCTTAAGCTCCACAGTTAAAGAACAGAAAAGGGCTGCCTTAACCACCCCCCAGCTGTTTCATATAAAAGATAACATGCCAATTATTCAAATGGATGTCAGCTGTCAGGAGGATGGTCCCCAGCACCTTGCTATTTGGATGCTGAGGGCACAGGCTGCCTGCTTTACAAGGAAGCTAAAGAGGAGGAGGTCTCAGCTTCTGCTTTTCCCAAAATGCTAAGCTGCATTTTGAGCTGAGAGCATCTGACAGCAAGGCATGCAGCTCCAAAAGTAGAATTAAAGCTTTGCAGCCTACATCTAATATGGTATTTCAGACCTTCAGATGGGAAAATGGACTCCTCTCAAAATCTGGAAGGCTTAAACTGCCCCCCTGCCCCTCAGCTGCTGAAGCAGGCCAGGTCAGACAACCACAGGGATAAAGAAAAGGTCACCCACGGTAGCACAGGGAAGGTGATCAGCTTTGAGTATCCACATCTGCTTTGCAGCAGAAATAAGGCGCAGAAGGGGTCCCCTCCTCTCGGTCAGGGCCAGAGCATCGATGCCCTCATGTGGGTTGCTGTCACCAAGCTGTCACGCTGCTCAGCAGTTGAGCACAAGTGTTTTGGTGGGAGCTGCTGGGTGCTAAACCCTTGCAAACACAGTCTGATCAAATCTCTCCAGGCTGCCAGACTTACCAAGGCACCGACAGGAACTTATTGCAGCACTCACCACGTTGTCTTATGGTGTGAACACACCTCAGCCCTTGCGTTTTGCCTCACAAGCCTCTTTATGGAAACCGCAAAGCAACGTGCAAGCTATTCCCTTCCCCTGCCAGCACTCTGCAAATGCAACTGCAGCCTATGAGGAGATGCTATATGTTACTGCTTGATCCCATATGCACTGAACTCCAGCCATGTCATCCTCTGGGCAAATGGATAAAAAAATAAGGAAGCAGTGGTGTGGTTTGCACACACCTATGCTGCTCAGCAACTCCAAACCCACCACCATAAGGTGGTAAAAGCATCTGATCTAGGTCCTTTAAAGGCAATAAAAGCCTTGGATGGGTTCCATCAGACCAAGTTTATGACTGTTGCTGCTCCTGCTCCCGGATGTACCAAGGGGTGACCACTGCAGAGCTGAGCTTGGACACAGACATGCCATAACGCCTGAGGCTCTGCGATTGTGTGGCAGCATGGACCAGTGGCAGAGGGTATGGGAACCACACATTTATTTTCCTACATAACTAAGGACATTTTGTGTGGCAGGGGCAAACACTGACAGTCTAATCCAAAGTCCAGGGCAATTTAAGAGTCTTTCAGCAGGCTTCAGCGGACTCGAGAGCAGGCAGTGCAAGAACAAAGTTTTCTACACTCAGTTAGAGCAGCCCCGGTTCTCACATGCAGTTGCTTATTTTAGAAAACAGGCAAAAGAAGCAGCAAACATCTGTGTGGATGCCGCATCAGGAACACTTGATTGCCACAGAAAGCAAGGAAGCAAGGGTAAGGCTACAGAAAAAAAAATTATAAAGCATGCATTTCAACCCATCAGAAATTACCTACATCCACTCACATTCATTCCCTCTACCAACTCCTTTGAGTTCCTGTGGATTTAGGAACCAATGTCCTCACCACCACCTCCTCCTTAATTTGTCCTCCTTGATTTGTCTCCCACCTCCTCCCCTGGAGCTCCCCACGTGGACCTCCTGGACCCCTCTGCTCTACCCCATTTCCAACCCAGACGTGCACCCTGGCATTGCACTGTCCTGGTGCAATGCTCCTGGCTGCAGCTTGCATTAGCCTTCCTGAACAGAGGCGATTAGAGAAAGCCCAAGACCAGGCACGGAGAGGTAGCACCAAGAGGGGAGTTTACCTGAGGGGTCAAGCATGTTGTTTTTTGTCCCCAGGCTCCGTGGACACGTCTGCTGTTGCACCTAGTGAGCGCGCTCCTTTGTTTGGGATGCAGAGCCGCCTGTGAATACGCGGATAGAGCAGCCACCCCAGGGACACGGCGGTTATGGAAGATCGCTGCGGGCTCAGGCTGGGCTCCCCTGTCCAGGAATGCATCAAATACACATTAAAAAAAAAAAAAAAAAAAAAAAGCATACTTTCAATGCCTTCACTTTACATAAGAGCTTGGGGACCTGCTGCCTCTCAAGGAGATCATGGGCAGTTTCATAACCTTCCAGTTACGCAGCATGGGTGCATGTCCCAGCCAAACCACCAGATATAGCACCGAATAACCAAGAACTTTGAACCCCGAACCCCTCATTTCCTTTCCTAGATGGTCTGGAGCTCTGAGAACACCATCTGCTCCACACGAAGACTTGGCAGTTTCTGCCTATCACAAGGCAACAGACATTGGAAAGTCAATGTACTAGCTTCTAAAAGGAAACAAAAGACTTTTTAATGCCTCCCAGAATAGAACGGGAAAATATAAATGGAAAACAAGTAAATACTCACTAAAAAAGAAAACAAATAGCATATGTCTCAACACTCCATAGATTACTATTAATCAAAACAAATAAACAAGACAAAAACGACAGACCTCCCTGCATACCTAAGATTACTCCAGCATATGATTTAGTAAACAACAAACTGAATTAGACCCTGCAGCAGCTGTGGAAAGCAATGCAAATTGTGTTTGGATTAGGAGTTAAAATTTTAGATGAGTATTTGGTTAAATAGACAGGATAAGAAGTTTACTATGAAATTGTGTTTGGATTAGGAGTTAAAATAGACAGGATAAGAAGTTTACTATTCCATCTAATCCTCCCACCACTAGCTTTGGAGGTGACTTTGGATAAGTTCCTTCTGCTCTGGTGACTATATTCTCCCTTCCTGCAAAATGGGGATAACAGTCCATCCTTTTGGAAAGCACTTTGCTCATTACATCGCTAGACAGCAATGAGAGCTAGATGTTAGGAGTTATAAATGCTGATCATCTCTCCCTGGAGCAGGGCTAAACAGCTTTAGAGGAGGCTTGTAGCTTTTTCTTGTAGTTTTTTCCTGAACTGCATTTGGAATAAATCTAGCTTCCTAAATGAGCTCACCTTCCAGTCTTCAATGCAATGAGAGCTCTTGTTCTATGGACTCTGGAAGAACATTTTTTCCATTCTCTGATTTTACACGTGTTTTCACTCTTCTTGATCTTGTTTATGAACAAGAATGGCTTTCAGAAAAAAACAGCCAAGAGAAAGGCAAAGATGTATTTGTACCTTCGATCATAGCTGATTAAATCAGAGGAAGATCTTCCTCTGTGCTTAGCAAGAGCAGCTTTATGGCAAAGGAACATTTGATGTGAGCAGATAAACCCAAGACCTGGGGCCCTCTGCACGTCCTAGAGGAAAGATCATAGAGAAAGGTGAATGGTGCATTCCCTGCAAGCCATGGGGATCAGGGTGCTGGGCTGTCCTCAGGGTGAAGTGTCCAGTCCAACAGTGCAAGGAGCTCTCCTCTGCTCGCCTGCACCTTGGTGTTTGATGGGGAGGAGCGAATCTGTCCTCTTTATGTGAACCCAACCTGTTGTGTCCTTGTACACCAACCCTGAGAAAGCCAGTTCAAATGGACCTCAGCATACTATAAGAGACTATAACATATGGCTGGTCCCTGCATGCTTATCAGTGGAGCTATATATACAAGTTACCTAAGATAATAAGCTTTACTGTAAGATAATATGTATCTATAAGATAATGAGTTTTTTTTCTTTTTTTTTCCCCAGTAGATGCAACAATGTTTAATGCAATAATTAGGTGAAAACTGCAAAAAAAATTAGGGAACGTGGAGGCAGGGAGAGATGAAGATCCCATTACCTAAAGCACGTTGCTAATTTTGAAACAGGTCCACCGTAAGAAAACTTCAGCATTTCAGCAAAATCCCACAGGAAGATGTGCCTACTAGGCAAAACTCTACTGGTGCGCGGATCAGTGGGATCAGGCCACGAACTCCTTCAGAGGTGTTCTTTTGATAAAAAGTTTTTAAAAATCATTGAATATCTCAGCAAAAGCAATTTGGGAACATAAGCTCAAAAGAGTTTTAAACTACTTATGTCAAGCACCTTCACATGCCTGATGCTGTCTTACGCTTTTAAGAGCAGGTTAGAGCCCAGTCACACCTGAGATTCCACACCGTGAAGGAGCTCCTGAACAGCCACTGAGATTCACACAAATTGTCTTTCATAACATTAAATTTCCTGTAGGGCATCACAACGGAATTTAATTCATGCACTCCTATTGTATTTCCTAAACATTATAAAACTAACTGGTTATACAACCCTAGCCTGGGTCTTGCACGTGTCTTCTAATAATCTTGCCACCCCTAGCTTACATCCCTCGATTAGATAATCCTGGTTTTGTAATTGTCTTCCCCCATACAGATGAGACCTCCCCTTCCAAAGTCTGGTCAAACTGGAGCCTTTAAAAAGCATCTCAGATGCGCCCAGCTAGGTGTGCTTGCTTAGCACAGAGATTCCTACCTTTGAGAAAAATGCCCGTGTCTGGAGAGGTCTTCACAACAACTGCCCCGGCAGCCTGTCCAGAGAGGCCCTGTCGGACGGACTTCCAGCTGGTGCGAGTCAAGAGCAGGTGGTGCCGGGTCAAGAAGGGAGAAGCCCTATCCGATTGCGACGACGAGATAACTCTCTCTGAAGCTAAGATGTAAGTAGAGGAGCACATGGTTAACTCATAACGAGCTGCATGGCCCTAGTCAGCTGTGTTGCCTTCTCTCACTGCTGGGCCACATCTCAGGTGGAGGATGCTCCTGTGGCTGAAGCCCACCTCCATTGAGCGTGCGTTCCCAGGAGCAGCTCATCTGCTGCAAAGGGGCAAGTACAGCAGCACAGGTGCCGTGACTGCTATTCTGCTTGCCTCAAATGGGGTCAGTTACAGAGGATATTTTATCAACAGCATGATTTTTATTCATAGGGAGCTCTTTTAAAATTCTGAGATACCTGTGTGGATCTTCTGTGCTTGAACTTTTTTATTTTCCTTGTGAGCATGTATATTCTTTACGTGTGAAAGTTAACAAATGGTTGCATGAGAAGGATGTGTTGATAGAGAGGCAATTGCAGCTAAATGAAATGCCTAGATGGGAAAAATAAGCACAAATAAGTAGTAAAAGCCCCTGTAGAAGCCTAATTGTAGAATTAATCCAACCCTACTTCAGATAGAGGAGAGAGATGAGTTTTCCCCCAGAAACAAATACAGCTCTTTGAGATATTACATTCCTCCAGGTAATTACCCTTTAATAATGGTATCCATATTTCAGTAGAACCTGGTGTCCCCATTGGTGATGAAAGCTCCTTAACATGACTGCATTTTGCATGTATTTTTTCCCAGTATTTGTAGCATTCATGGTTTAACACCATCAAGTCTAAGTGTTTTCTCAGTCAAGTCAGTGGGTTTTTCGCCCCCATGGTATGTTCAGACTCAAAATTTCCATTGCGTTGTCATTCAGCCAGTGTGCAGCAATAGGTGCTGGCTGCTGTGCCGCCCGATACACAAACCCCATTCTGCCAAACAACATTCCAAGTGATCCTGTCTCTTAGGGGCTACTTCCTGGAGGTGGATGCATGTACCGTTAAGTTAAGCTGTAACAAATTATGATGTATGCAATGATGCTTGTTGTAATGGAGTATTTTAAAAGCCCAGAAAAAAAAAACAGAAGGCATAAATCCCCACCTTTTTTATTCAACCTCTACAAAAATTAGGGACAGATTTAAAGACAATTTGGCATAAAAGAAGTCATAAAAATATCTATTTAGGCCTATAAGAGGAAGCTGAGGTGTGCGTAAAAGGAAATTTGATTGCCAGCAAACCATCTTTTTATTCAAAAAACAAGATGAAGGTTCACAGAAGTTTTCAATTTTTGTCTAAACACAGCTCAAGATGAAGTTTTATATAAAATACCTTCAGGAAGTGTGGGATTTTTTTCTTTTTCTTTTTTCCTGTCTCTTTTCATTTTCTTTCTTGATTCCCAACAAAGTGAAAAAGCCAGAAGAAATCTACAAATAGTTTTTCTCTGGCACCCACCTGCCTACAGGAGAAGTGATAACCAGACCGCAGTGCAGTTTCTTCTCTGTTTTAGCCATATATTACATGCCATCTTTAAAAGATTTTGCTTATCCTTCAAAAGGCCAGGGAGATGGATTATGGAAAATTTTCCCCACTCCCAAATCACTTTATTTTCCCACCTGGGAACACTTCCTACTTCTACCATGTCTCTTTTGAGATAAGGTGACCCCCAGTTCCAGATGGAGGGTTGTTGCCTGGAGGTTAGCGAAGCGACTAAGCCCCAAAGACACCCTGCACATTTCCAAGCCCCAGCAGCTCCATCGTTTAAAAAAATCCAGGCATATTATGTACAGAAGGGAAAGGCAATGATTCCGAACTGCATTTTCTTATCCTTGGCAGAGGAAAATGTGTTTCCGAAGGTGGGATTTCCTGGACCGTTGAAGCTCCCATCTATTTTTGCTATAAAGTGGTAGAGACGTACAACATCCTGGACCCTTCCAACACCACGCTCCTTTGGGGCCACATTGCTGACCACCAGCAGCTAGAGCTGGCCACCAGCAGTAAGAGAAAGCTGAGGCGTTTTATTGTCATGGATGAAGTGGTCGATGAACTCTACGGCTCCAAGGTGAGAAGATACTTCGAAGCGAATAACGTTCAATACAAAATCCTCGCCCTGCCTACGACCGAAGAAACGAAATCCATGGATCTGGTCTTGAGCATCTTGCAGGAAGTCCAGGCCTTCAGCATCGACAGGCGAACAGAGCCCATCATCGCCATCGGAGGAGGGGTTTGCCTGGATATCGTAGGACTAGCAGCGTCGCTCTACAGAAGGCGCACGCCCTACATTCGAGTCCCAACCACCCTTCTGTCCTATGTCGATGCCAGCGTGGGGGCAAAGAATGGGGTGAATTTCCTCCAGTGCAAGAATAAGCTTGGAGGCTACACTCCCCCCGTGGCAAGTTTTCTGGATAGATCCTTCATTCAGAGTATTCCTCGGCGACACATCTCCAATGGCCTCGGGGAAATTTTAAAGGTAGGAGCCTTTTGCCACTGCAGTTTCTAAAGCTAAAGCATTAGGAAGGTGACCATTGGTATCCATAGCATTGTATACATTTCCATATAGACCCTAGAGGTGAGTCTGAAGGGCTGTGTTGGTACATCGACTCTTGCTGAGCTCACATACACATTTTACAGCTCCTAGACTTGTTAAAATATCCCTTATGTACTGTCCTTAATGATAATTCTGTAGAGGAAGCACCAAAACTCAAGGCCAGATACAGGTAAAGGGCAGAACCAGAGAACAAAGCACCCTCCTCTTCAGAGCAATCCACAGCACACTTAAATACATTGATGTTGGATAATTTGATGCTTTTTGTACCTATCTCATCAGGTACCTTAAATGTGGTCAATCTGCAAGACAAATATGTCTTCCAAAATATCCCTGGATGAGCACAGTAAATGATTTTATGCCTGAAGAGAACATTTAATAAATTAGGCTTCAGGTTATTGAAATGTATTAAATATAAATGAATTAGTAGCACTTTTGGATGCTTGTACAGTAGAAACTCCCCAGGATACCTGTGATCTGTGGGAAAACACCAAGAAACTGGTCACTGTTCCCCATTGAAAGAGGGATCTAATGCCAGAGTCGGAGGGTGAACAAATCTGTTCCTGCCTCAGGCATTTGCATGCTCCTTTTTGCTTATATCTTCACTTACCATAGGTGACAACAACATATATAACATTACCATGTCATATTCTCTAGAGACTCAGAGGAGAGAGGCTTATGCACAAGTTACCATGTCAGAAAGCAAGAACACATTGAATCCCCTATAAACATGCTAAAAGACAAGCACAGAAGAAATACTCGTGAACCAAAATGCAAAATAGTATCTACTGAATATGCCACAAATCTGAACTTCTTACCTCTCCTGCAGCCCCATACACACGCTAATCAGAAACTCTGCCTACAGAAACACTAATTACATAGGTAGAATTTACCCTTGCACCAAGCAAGCACAGGTATTTCTTTGCTAGTACACATTGATGTATTACAGTCTAACCCATTGAAACACTCATCAGCATATACAAGGTTCATATCATTATTTTTAACTATGTTTTTATGCACTTTACCCCAGATGGCACTCATGAAGCACAAAGGGTTATTTGACTTGCTCAAGAGCCATGGAAAATACTTGCTGGACACCAAGTTCCAGTCTTACAGTGACTCCACCAGCCCTGGGGATGCTGCACTCCAGACTACCCGAATTGCCATTGAAACCATGCTGGAAGAGCTGGCTCCCAATCTCTGGGAGGATGACCTGGACAGACTGGTTGATTTTGGTCACCTTATAAGCCCAGAACTGGAAATGGTGAGTGTCAGACTTTGTATTGCAACACCTGTCAAAAAAAAAAAAAAGTTTTCAATCACCATGACATGACCAATGACATGAGCCATAACAGTGCAAATATTGCAATCATTAGGGCTATAACGCTTATCATGTGTAAGAAATCACCCCTGAGGAACAAAAAGGAGGACTAGACTTCATGCAGAATCCAGAGCTTCTTTTCTCCACCCCGCTGTGCTCTTTGGCAGCAATGTGAATGAGAGGAGAATTAGATTCTGGATCTCTATGGGAGATTTTCTGTGCAATTAATCATGTGCAAATAGATCTTCCTCTGCGACCCATAAATCATAAGATGCTAACATCTAGGATGGCTCTGTTCTACTGCTGTGAGCTGAATAATAATTTGCATGAGTAGCTTTAGGGGAAAAAAAAACACTAATTATTTACTGCCTGCAAACCTTTCTTCCCTCCGTACCCGTTTTGCTGCGTTTCAGCGGGTTCTGCCGTTGCTGATGCACGGCGAGGCCGTGACCATCGACATGGCGTTCATGACCTACGTGGCCTATGCCCGGGGACTCCTCAGCTGCGGGGAGAAGGAGCAGATCATCCAGTGCATGCGGGCCCTGGAGCTGCCCGTGTGGCACGGCGCCTGCAGCTGGCACCTCATCCAAAGGGCCCTGGTGGAGCGGCTGAAGCACGGCGGCGGGCGGCCCCGCATGCCGCTGCCCACCGGCCTGGGGGTGGCAGGTACGGTGGGATGGGGCTGCCCACGTTTGGGAGGGGGACTCGTAGCAGCACCCCAATGGGCAGGAGTTGGTCCAGCTGGAGCATCTCTCCAGCTCTGGAGGTCCTGCATAGACCTGAGTACCAGCGAGCTTGCCCAGAGTCCTTTCACAAGTGGCAGCAGGCTTTGGGGCAATTCCTTGCAATAGTATTCTCAGGAAAATATCTTTTTCCAACCCTCTCTAGAAGTCCATCCTTTCCTGGCTGTAGTTGTCCCAGAAACTTTCCAGGGCGTGGGGAGGAGGCAACAATCTTCTAAAGGAGCAGGAACAGGATAACGTGCCAGGAAACCTGCCCCACGGTCCTGTGGTCCTACCTTTCTGGACTTAATTCTGCCAAGGCAGGATGTTTCTCCTGGGTCTAACCACCAGCTAGTACTTAACCAAGACCTAATTAATGGGTTTAAGATTGACCGGTTCACTTATCTCCAGTACCTGGGATGAAATGTTATCACAGGTGAGATGTAGAAAACTAAAATAAAAGCAACCTCTAAGTCCAGGCTGCAATATCTGACACTGGGGTCCATCCAGACCATTTCCAGCAGGTCCGGCCCCGGCTTTCACAGGGATGCAGCTCCCTGCAAACCGCTCCCGCTAAACCCACATGCAACAGCAGGGAAAGCAGCTCCGGAGGGATGTCTGATTAACTGGAAATCTTCTTTTGCAGAAATATTCAATGACACGAGTGAGGAGACCCTGAAGGCAGCCTACCAGCTGTGGGTGGGCGACTGCAAGGTGGCAGAAGCGCCAGCCGCACGCTGAGCGCCCCGAGCCCAGGGTTGCTACTGCCCCGCACGGCCCAAAGCGAGCGGATGGGATGACACGCAAGCAAAACCAAGAGAGTAGCACCCACATAAACCCCAGGGCTATTAGGAAACAGAAAAATATCATTGCCTGACCAGATACATTTGTTCCAAAGGGTCTGTTTGCAGGGAAATGCATCAGTCCCGTGCAGTCTGCAACAACTCAACGCTAATGAGCAAAATCACCGTAGTGCATCTCATAGGGAGCAATAATTTCTTTCCATGCTATAGCAAAGTATTCCCCCCCGCCATCAGCAAATACAACATAAAAGCTGTATAAAAGCCATATGCTATTTAGAACAGCTAAAGCAGGCAATGCACCTTACTGCCTGAGTTCCTGCTCTGTCTTTTAGCTCATGCAAACCAGTGAAAATGGGGGCCCAGCCACTGGCTTTTTCTCTCAGGACAGGAGTGACATGGGAAAGACTGTGTCACTTCAGAGGTGACCTGGACCAGCTTGCGGTGCGACACACATCAGCTCTGAAACTTAAAGGCATCGGGAGCCTTCTCCCTGGAAACTGTGCCAAAAGAACCGCAGTGATAAAGGGCACTCAAATCATTTATAGCCTTTTTATTAGGGTGTTTATTAGGCCTAATGTTTTTTGTTTTTCTTTATGTCATACCCATTCGTCCTGACACACTGGCTTCTCTTTTGCTGAAGGAATAAAAGCTGTTTTAAAAGTTTTATCGTGCCGGTTATACCTTGCTGTGCGCAGCACATGAGTGAGGAGTTAGGAAGAGCCACCCGTAAATCCCTTTTCCCTTTGAGTCTGGAGAACATTTCTCCCAACCCACCTGTTTCTCCAGCTTCATGTGGTCTCCCCAGAGCTGCTCTCCCAGGATGCCAGCAGGAAGGGGGAAGGTGCCCTGGGTTTTGCTCACTCGCACCAGGTCCCCTTTCTGGCTGCTGTCCATAAACCATCATAAACCACAAACACCAGCTCCAGGCACAGCCTTGCAGCCAGATCGCCTTGTGATGCCCAAACCTCCACTTTTTCACCCATTTCTGGACAGCTCAGCAACAACCTGGAACGGCAGCCAGCTGTGGGGGAAGCCAATTGGTCAGGGGGATATTTTTTTGGAGGGATTCTTTTGGGAGGAACCTTTATTGGGAATATTTTTTTTCAGGAGGGAATCGCTTTTATTTTCATTGCCCAGGCAATGTCCCAGCTGGAGGAATTGATGCCTGTAAGAGCAGATAGGGGAAAGTGAGGCACAATTAAGACAGCAAAGCAACCTCCCAATTATTATATTTTTTCCCTCTTCCCTCTAGCTCAGGTGACAGAGCACGATCACCCTCTGACACGCTTGGTTGCTTAGTAGCAGACAGCCTCATTTTTAATTATATATTAAAATATGCTAAAGAACATAAAATGGTGGTGTGACTTGTACATGTGTATCAAGAAACGGACTCAACAGCACCTAAATTGCCTCGGTGTCTGATAAAGATGCCGACTTCTTTTTATACTTTCTTAACACAAGTGTTGCTTTTGCGGCTCTTCTTCACCTAATTTTTTTCTTTGCGGTTTCAAGTTTTTAGGAGAAGCTTCTAAATCGTCCTTTTGTTCCTTCATTAGGTATGAACCCATAGTTCCCAGCCGCTTACCTCTTTCCTTTCAAGAGGCTTTTAGTGTGCACACAAAGTAAGCTTCCTTTCAGCTTGATCCTTACGCTTCCTTTCAGCGTGATTCCCGGGAGTTCAGCTGGGCGGTGCAACCGGAGAGACAGCTAGTCTTCGTGCCCCACGTTGGGCGCCATTTGTTGCACCTTGTGAAGAAACGGACTCAGTCTGGGGTGCAGAGTGAGACAACTTTATTTCCAAACCGACTTCTTTTTATACTTTCTTAACACAAGTGTTGCAAAGCGCACAACCAATCAGCATCTGGCCACCTGCGCGGTTGTCTGGCTTTGTTTCTTTTCTTCTGGCAAGACACGTCGCACACGAGGCAGGGGGAGGTGTTCCTCAGTCCTCGTCTTTCTCGGCTCTGTCCCCCATCTGCTGCAAAGACTGACACCCTTGTGGTTAACTATCTGCTAACAAGGTACTATTGTCTTTGAACAAGCCTCCACAGTGACTAATACATGTGTATCAAGAAAGGCATGTGACAGCACCTAAATTGCCTCGGTGTCTGATAAAGATGCCTCTGCCAGGCTTGTCAACAGCAGATCAAGACAAGTATTATTAATAAAACAGTGACTTTTTAAAATACACCTCATTGTTTGCAGTGCATTTTTTGTTAGACATCTAGTTTCATTCTTTTCCGTTTATTCAGCTTTAATTCCTTCTTTTCAAAGGGAGCTATTAGCATTATGCTGCAACTCTCTGCTTATTTCCTTATTGCCTCCATTAGAGTATTGCTCCAAAGAGAACACTGGAAAGCGGTGCGGGATCCAGCGGCGCTCTGCACAGCACAGGTTCTTCATGGATTTGTCCAAGCAAAACCACTACGCGATAAGAGAAGCGATGAGAAATGGTTTTATGATTTGCATGTTTTGAAGTTGCTTCTTCTGCAAGTCGCTGCTTTGCAAACTGCCTTCCAGTTGCCTTTAGGGAAGAAAAGAAGAAAAAAAGAAAAGAAAGAAAAAGAAAGACATAGAAAAATAATAAAGGATTACAAGCTCTGATATGTTTCAGTGACAGTATAACTACTAAGCAGTTACAATTTGCATCCAGTCAACAACAACTTTCAATATACCTACATTGCATTAGAATAAAACCAGTTTTGCATGAGAATAAAACCAGTTTAGCAGACATAACAGATTCTGCCTGGATGTATTTAAAGTGTCTAACCAAACCTCATTGAAGGCAAGAGCAATTCTGCGTATTATGCAGCACATGCTGAACCATTCCCTGCCTGCTGGGAACCCTTCCCAGTGCCAGAAATTAGAGGCTGTGTCCCGACCCCCCTGCAAATTGCAGTGTTAAACCACAGTGCGCGTGAAAGCAGCACCAAGAGCCTCGGCGCTTTCCCAAGCAAACGAGATCCCATCAGCTACTAAAGTCTCCTTTCCCTCCTCTCCCTAACCCTCCACAGAAAGTTTCAGGCACGTGGAAAAGGAAAAAGCTAACAAGAACTGCCACTGCATCTTCTCTGATACAGATCGGAGAATTTCTTACAGCTTTTACACCCATGTTTGATTTTTCTTCCTGCTTTTGACCCAGTTTTGCAATCCAGCAAAAAGTAGAGAAGAATCTTTCCCGCGGGTCTCGAGAAATTCATCTCCACAAATATAACACCAGCAGCGCCAACTGCAGAAAGGGAAGCCAGAATACAGAGAAAGTCAATCTTAATTTAAAAGCCATGTCCTGAGCTGCTAACAACGAGAACCTTAACGGTGTGTTAAAATGCCACATTCTAGCATGGATTTAGATTTCTCAAATAAGAAATAGTGCTTCACAGTGACTGCTAAAAGCACCTACCAGGTATTAACTCAAATATTTTCTATAGAGGGATGGAGGTCTTTTCCTCTGCATTCATAGCAAAGTATCTCTATCCAGAATTACCACCTTTTAAATTGATTTTTTTTTTTAAATGGAGCGATGCAGGACAGCTAGTGCTTTTCAACTGCAGGCTTCCTCCTCCCCGTTTCCTTTTTTTTTTTTTTCCTTAATTAACTGTTTTAATTAATAATTTAATTTTCTACCACTATCAAAATGAGATTTTTAAAAGACCCAAGCCAATTCCAAAGGACACAAGCCAATCAAACCTTGGTTGCAGCTGAAGATGCTGAGGATGCATCAAAGCCCTGCAGTAGTGCCCGCTCCCCAGCCCTGCTGCTGCAGCAACGTCCATGGACAAGGTGAGGACTCCACGGCATGCGAGGACACGAGGAGAGCGCCAAGGAACAAGACTGCAATGGATGAGGACAACAAAGAAGCAGAGATAATACAGGGGGGAAGACAAAACAGGCCCCCAAGCAAACCAGAACTGCTTGCAAATGTTCAGAATAAGGTTTGGGCTGTTGGGATGGATGGCAACCTCATAGAATGACAGGCTCCCTGTGTTGGCACAAAGCAACCAGAGCCCTGGGAGCAGCCAAAATCATGGGCTTTTACTCCAGGTGAGGGACACAGACAAGGTCACCAGCAAGGCACAAACATGGCAGCGCTGCTGGGACTTTAGGGACGCACACGCACAACACCGAGAGTCACTTACACTGGAAACGAGTGGCTGACACACACGTATGTGAAAAACCAAATGCTTTAATCCATCTATCAAGAACAACAGTTCAAATTATTTCATTGGATACATTAATATTGATCCATAATTTACAGTGCTATGGACCATACACAAATTATTGCTGCAGTCAACAGCAGATGAATATCAACATTACAGTACCAAGCATCATAGCAAGAGGCAGTAATTAATGTCACTTTTTCAAGAAATATAGGTATTTATACTATTATCAACATCAGCTTCCCCCCCAGTGCATTTTATGTCAAACAACATAAACGTAAGTGCATTATTTTGTGCTTTGTGCTTTCCTTGTGTACCTTCTTTTTGCTTTTGCAGGCTGTAAAGTTTCATATTGCTCTGTAGGCCAAAAGCAGTAAGGAAGAACTCCATGGTACTCTGCACATTCACATCTGTTGCGTGGTTTTGGCAAAAGTGAGCGTTATTCAATATTCTACCTAGGCCGGATCAGGTCCAGGGTCAGGCAATGGACACCGCCATTCAAGAGCTGCTGTGGTCAACATTTGTGTCCTCCTCACCGCACCTTGTGCGTGCTGCACCCTGTCCCAAACTGCTGTCCTGTACATGGCCACCACCCCATGTAACCACTCCGATACACAAGAACCGTTTGCATCTCCAGGGAGGTACCATCCATCACACCAGAGCAGCTCCTTGCTGAAAGCAGCCGACTTGGAGAAAGGCCATGACTTGCCGAAACATGGGATGAGACAGCAAGGGAGCCACAGGAGCACTGCGGGTCACTGCCCAATGTAACCCACTGGGCAGCACTGCAGGACCACAATGCATGACTGCTGTTGGCCACCAAGCAGCCCAACTCTTGATAAAACATCATTTTTCTTGCATGCTCAGCCACCTCTGCTTAGCACATAGCCAAAAATGGGAAGCTGCGGCCGCCAGCAAGTACCAGTGGTTTCACATAAGCTTGAGAAACATTCACAGTCCAGACTTAGCTCCTGCACAGACAGCACAGGCATCACACCCCAACCCTAAGTCAGTGGTTCCCAGCGCAGCTGTGCGCACCCTGATCCCTCTGTGCCACGCTGCCGAGCTCACCTGTCCAACGGGAAGGGTGACACCACCCATGTTACAGCTACCAGCACTGTACAGCCCTGCTCGTCTCTGCCCATCACCATTAAGACACATTGGGGATGCATCTTTGTCAGGGATGGGAGCAGAAAACCCCTGCCTGCCCTAGACAAGATGCTAGACCATGGTGCATCCCAAGGGATCACCTATCCTGTCCCATCCCGGCTCCATCTGACCTAGCAGGGATGCGCTCCCAAAGGCTGCCTGGGGCAGGCGGAGAGAGAGACATCATCATGAGCAAACTCCTGCTCTTCCTTCCTTCAAAAAGGAAAAGCAAAAACCCTGCAATTGCACCAATGCCACCGGTACGACTCCAGCAGATGCCACAATCACGGAGAGCAGCACTGCCACAGGGGCACCCAAGGGCGACCAACCTCCAAAGGCCACCGCAACCTGCTCGGGAAAGGTTTCAGCTGCCCCATCCCTACCCAATTCACATTGTGTTTCCAAACACTGTAACCATTGTGACCAAGTTTCCTTATATAAAACCTGCCAACGCTGGCACTCAAGTCCCTACCTGTTTTTTTGTTTGTTTTTACCATTATTATTACATATATCTTCCAGTGTAGCACACAGGAGAACGGGGAGCTCTTGTTTTCTCTACGTAGGCACCATGCCACACTTCAACTTCCTAGAAAAGGTCACCCGAAAGCTTTCTCCTATGCCACACTTCAGTCAGTGCTAGTCCAGGAAGACTACAGCTAGAGTTTAAGGCACTTCATTCTGAACGAGATACGCTTGCCTGCCGCTTGCAAGTCAGTTGTGGGCTGCTATTGAGAAATCCATTCAATCCGTCTAGCTTGGAACACCGTACGTCATCTCTGTCAAACATCTAGGCTCGATATAATACAAGTAAAACTACTGTTATTGCATAGGACTACACTTGAGTAGATAATGCACCAAACTACTTTTACAACATTGTTGCATGTTAAAAATTAATAACATTGTTATCAAGTAACAGTTATTTGCAGATACAGTAATTTAGTCTTTTTTTCTTTTTTTCTTTTTTTTTTTCTTTTTTAATGTCAGCCCCAGTGCTGAAATAAAACACAAATTACTATAACGGGTAGATTAACTACATATTTATGTTTTCAAGCATATTACTACTTTTTCTGGATCACTAAAAATAAATATGTAAGTTCAGTTTTTCTACAGAGCTGTTTTGTTTATTACCTAATCTAAATTTGTACTCACTCTACCTTAAGTGTGTTTAAAAACATTTTCAAAGTGAGACTGTAATATACAAAATATTCTTAAAATCTCTCTTAAAACACAGAACCCTGCATAAAAGCTTCCTTTCAAGTGTTTACAAAGAACACAGAAAACTTCCAATGAGTTTAAAATGTCAAAAAATTGTTGCAATATTAAGAGGCAAATTCTTACAAATGAAATACAAATATATTTAAAACAAAACATTAAGAATAACTAAGGAATTCATGCAAATCAAAATAAACTGTACAACGCAATTTAAAAAAAGAGTAAAGCCAATTAGATATGTACAATGTGCCCAGTTGATAAAATGTATCATTTTTTGTCCAAAAAGTAGATACCGATTTACAGTGTTCCTTCTTCATTCATTGGCAAACCATCATTATATGTTACAAAACAAGAAAAATCTAAAACAAAAACCTTCAACCATGATCCAAAGGAAACCCGAATCAGCTCAGAGTAAAATTAAATGTCACTCTGAGGAAGAGATTCACATCTCCCTGCAATTTCTACTTCGTTCTCAGCAATAGCATCAAGAACATTTTATATCAGAATGAACAATCAGGGTGTTTCAACACTTTTTTTTTTTTGTCTGTATTCAGTGGAATAGTAATTTTTGTTTAAACACTTGTGATATAATGACCAAAGGTTGAGGGACACTGTATCTTTAAGGCAGTACTATTGAATCAACATAATTACAAAGTGAACTCTCTCTGTTTTGGTTTCTTTACATTCTTTATCTTTACATTTTGTTTCCAAGGAAATGGGTTGCACAGAATTTACAATTCTGCTATGCTCCCTCCCCGCCTGAGTAGAAACAGACTTTTCAGATGTAATTCTATTGCTTTAAGTAGATTTAACCAGTTCAAAGTTCTTGGCTAATCCAGTTCACAGATAATGTACATACGCTGTACAATATTTTGCAGGCGTTGGTAGTTTTAAAATAGAATATACAAGCTTTTTTTTTTCCTTCCACAAAAGAAAAATCTAAAAAAACCTCTCTATATAATATATACACACACGCGCACACACACTAGGCTACTGATGAAGCACAAAGGAAAAAAATCAAAAAAAAAATCTACAAAAGGTAAATTATTTAATCTACTGATCAAGAAAAAGCAGTTTATGAAAGGCCATGCAGAGCAAACATCTGCTAACAGGGATGATCGGTGTCCTCCATGCTCACGCTGCTCCGCCTGCTACTCGTCTTGGACGCTCCAGGAGACACTGAGGAAAGCAGCGGGTCAGTTACCCCAACGGGGGAGAGGGTATCGTCCATCAGGATATCTTCCAGTTTGGATCCCATTTTTGCGGGGACACCGTAAGTGCCAGTCGGCTCAGTCACATTTCCCAGGTTGTCGCTGAAGGTGATGGTGCCATCGGTGAGATCCAGGGTGGTGGTGCACGACAGGTCGGCGTGGTGCTGCAGGAGGTCTTGGTTGCAGTTGTCCAGGACGGGCTCTTGCTTGATGACCCGGTTCACCATATCGGGGGAGCAGAGGCCTGTCGACGGCACGAGGGAGAGGCCGTGCGCCCGCGCTTGCATCTCAAGTTCCTGCCAAGGAGAACAAGAGGTTATTTAAAAAAAAGCATGAATGCAAAAACTCATCTCATGGGGCTTCTTGTGACTATGGCAAAAGCAGAAGGAAAAAGTT